TTATGGTATCGCTGTGAACACTAGCCGACGGTAGTGGAATTGAAGGAGCTACATCAACAAATATTTTCTGAGGGCCTAAGCTAAACGGTGGCAAGAGAGAGTCCCCTCTGAATATTCCCCTTTGCTCTTTCTTCTCTTTGTACAGAAAATATCATTTACTCTTTCTTTAGCCTTATTGCAGGGAGTTTTCAGGGACCAAATAAGAGATCTCCATTCTAAGTGGTAATATTGGGCCAAACCATTTGGTGAGATAAAGAGAAAGCAACATTCAGGTTTTGGATCAGTTCTTTGCTTGAGGACTTTCTCAGTGGCTTGGAGTCAAGAAAAGTGAAATGGGACAGAATATCCATATTAGACTTTGGCTTCCCCATAGAGTAATAACAATATCTTACATTCGTATAGCTTCCCATGGTTTACAGGGCGTTTGTGTAATGGTTTCAGTTGACCCTCATGACCACCTTGTGACATACACATGAAAGGTTTGTCATGGGCGAACGTGGGGAAGACCTTCAAGCTTCAGATCTATGTTCCTTCACATGTTGCCTGGAGTATCATGACACTGCCTGTGTATGGCTCTAGAAGAATTAGATTTAAATATAGGATGGCTGACAACCTAGTAATTGTGTTCCTCCTTTGTTCTTAATGAAGGCCATAGAATGTTCTAGAATGAAGTCTATCCAGTGATAACTTTTATCACTGGCCATAAGCCTTGAGAGCCTCATAAGACCCAAATAATCTAACCTGAGGCATAAAAGCCTGGCTATGTGGGGAGAGTCCCTTCCTTTTTATGGCTGAATAATAGTATATATTATAGTATATATTGTGTATTATCCATTGTATTGTATATTACATATTCTATTCACCCAGCATACCACATCTTACGTATCCATCCATCTGTGCTGCACACTTAGTTTGTCTCCATATCTTGGCTACTTTGAGTAATGCTGCAATAAACATGGGAGTGTAGACATCACTCTAAGACCCTGATTTCAGTTTCTTCGGATATATACCCAGAAGCGGGATTGATTTTAGTAACCATTCTTACCTGATGATTTCCACCAGAATATCAAGAATCCTATGTGGCAAGTGGTAGTCATTAGCTCCCTGAAACGTCTTGGAAAACAATTTCTATTTTTAGCATCAAATGTAAGGCTGTTCACATCCCGTTCAGGGTCAGGTAGTTACTGTCGGGGTTCCTCGGCCAATCATAGTGTGCATATTCAGCCGAACCATAGAACTACACCCCCTTGAATCCAATCACTTTATAATTTTGGCCATTAATATAAAACTGATTGGTCATACTATTTCTTGGCACGTCATAATTCTATATGTTAAATGAATGCATCATAATCAAACCTCAAAAAGCAGGTGGAAAGAGAAGTTCCGAGTCTCATGGTAGACTGTGTACGATGAAGAGACAACGACCAGAAGAACAAACTTGGTTATCAGAGATCAGGTCTAAGAAGCTCGAATTGATCTTTATTCTGGAGCTGGGGCCACCCCTGGGGCACGTGACCCCCTGCCCTGCTCAATATGTCACCAGCACACAGAGACCAACTCAGCTACTTGGGCCAGCTTTTGAATATATTTGCTAGTCACATATTTCAAAAAGGAAATTTCACCTCCATAGGAAATGTGAAATATCTAGTGTACAGAAGTTAAGAGTTATTGGGAGCGTCCTGTATATTTGTTTATTAAGATGTGGGATCTTACTTTTTTTTTTTTTTTTTTTTTTTTTTTTTTTTTTTTAGCATTTATTTATTTTTGAGACAGAGAGAGACAAAGCATGAACGGGGGAGGGTCAGAGAGAGGGAGACACAGAATCCGAAACAGGCTCCAGGCTCTGAGCTGTTAGCACAGAGCCCGACGTGGGGCTCAAACTCACGGACCGCGAGATCATGACCTGGGCCGAAGTCGGCCACTTAACCGACTGAGCCACCCAGGCGCCCCGGGATCTTACTGTTTTATAGGTGACGTCGAACTTACTAAGGCTTAAAGACTTGCATTTTTTTAAGCAGGGGTCCATAAACTACATATGTGCTGAGTCCGTTTCAGCAAGGAGCCCCGGACACTTGCCCAGCCAGGCTGGCACAGAGTGATGAAGGGGACGATGGTGGCATGTGGCATTTTCAATTTGGGGATGGCAGTGCTCTCACACTGTCAGCCTGGAAGACCCCAGACAAGGGTTTATTGTATTCCTCTCCTATGGCCTCCATTTCGAGAGAAAACGAGAGGGCTCATGCATGTCCCGTCTACTCTCTCACATGACTGGGTTGATGGCATTCGTTGGGGCTATTTTTTCATTTTGGAGCAGCATCCAAATAATACCGTAATAAAAGATGCTATAAACAAAGGGAAATGAAGTCATCCGTCTTCTGGTGTGTTGGTGTGGAGATGAGAAGGACCAGCATTGGGGGGGGCGGGGCAGGGGGAAGGCCAGAAGGTATTAAATCAGAGAAGCACTTTCCAGATTCTCTGCTGAAGGCCTATGATGTCACAGACACGAAGAACTCCTGAGTATCACTTCTAAACTTCTTTTAAAAATGGGTTATGAGTAAAGAAAAGCAGTGAGAACAATTCGAGTCATGACAAAATAGGTGTTTTAATAGGCTTCCAGAGCGAGCTGGCCTTGTGGACACACGTGGCCAGTCTCTCTCCTGTCGGAAACTCTCTAATGTCGTATTAAAGGAGTATTCTTTCAAAGCCTGAAGCAACAAAGACAGGTCTTCCTGGGCCTGAATCCCTGATTGGAGGGGGGATGAATTAATGGTGGATTCCTAGAAGCTAAACAACCGCCCCCAACACACTTGGTGTGTGAGGGACCTGGATGAGAAGCAACAACCCATCAGTGTACCACCTCCCTCGGTTGTGGGTGGTATTCACCTAGTTGGAAGTGAAGACACTGGATTTTGATCTAACCAAAATTACAGCCTAGCTGCGTTCAGGTAACAGGAGACGGGGATGTTCCAGGCCCAAGGGTGGGTAGGGAGTAAAGGGCCAGAGCCTCTTTTTTCAGTAGCGCACAGTGAATGGATAATGCCTAATCCTGGAATATTCTAGTTGTCAGATCTGTGGGATAAATATGCAAATATTCAACTAAAAGGTATGGGGGAGGGGCACCTGGGTGGCTCAGTTGGTTAAGTGTCCGACTTCGGCTCAGGTCACGATCTCTCGGTTCATGATTTCGAACCCTGCGTCAGGCTCAGTGCTGACATCTCGGAGCCCGGAGCCTGCTTCAGATTCTGTCTCCCTCTCTCTCTGCCCCACCCCTACTCTTTCTCTCAAAAATAAACAAACATGGGGCGCCTGGGTGGCTCAGTCGGTTAAGCGTCCAACTTCAGCTCAGGTCACGATCTCGCGGTCCGTGAGTTTGAGCCCCGCGTCAGGCTCTGGGCTGATGGCTCGGAGCCTGGAGCCTGCTTCTGATTCTGTGTCTCCCTCTCTCTCTGCCCCTCCCCCATTCATGCTCTGTCTCTCTCTGTCCCTAAAATAAACATTAAAAAAAATTTTTTTTTAAATAAAAAAAATAAACAAACATTAAAAAAAAAGATACAGGGAAAAGGTAGAGTGGTTCTCTTTTTCATAAGAAAGCTTCGAGGGCTATTTAACACTTATTTTATGTATATGTTTAACATTGATAAAAATGATTTTTAAAGTATGGTCATAACTGGGTGCATTAAGTATTGTTAAATGAAACTTGCTTTATTGTGAAATGGAAGAACATTAAGGTAGTAAGTATTGTGTCCAAGGTCAAACCCTGTACCCCTCCTATGTGGCACTTCTTCTGTTTAGAATTCTTGACAAATAAATCTTTAAGAATTTTAATAATCGGAGTCCTGAATTCCACCCCCCACCACCCCACCCCATGCCCCCATTTGCCAGACCTTCATCTGTGCCCTACTCAGTGACCGGGACGCCCCGCCTGTGCTTACAAGGGAGATGTCTGGTAGTGAGGGAAGGGAGGAGAAACAGAAATACCATGGCTGTATCAACGAGGGAAATGCTGTGAAACTTACACAGTGGAAGTTATTACAGGGGCGCCTGGGTGGCTCAGTCGGTTAAGTGTCCAACTGTTGCCCAGGTCCTGATCTCACAGTTCATGAGTTGGAGCCCCTCGTAGGGCTCTGTGCTGTCATTGCAGAGCCTGCTTAAGATCCTCTGTCCCCCTCTGTCTCTGCCCCTCCGCCACTTGTGCTCTCTCTCAATAAGTAAGTAAATAAATAAATAACATATTTTTGCAAAGAAGGTATTATGTATTGTGTATTTTATTTGGATAAATAAATACTCCACTACTCTTATGCTTAGAATCTGTGATCCCAGAGCTTAAAATACTCATTAAATCTCATTGAGCATTATGTTGTCCAAAAACGAAAAGTTTTGGTTCCATCATTTGAACTTCAAGCTTTTTTTTTTTTTTTTTTTTTTTTTTTTTTTTTAAAGCTAAGCTTAACAATGGAATAGTCAGCACTTTTGGTTATTTATCAGGTGAAAGATGGAAGATGGTTTTTATGGGATCACCATTCTTATTCACATACAGTTACACTTACTGTCTCATTCTCCTTGTTGACACAGGATAAACTGTGCAGATTCCTTCTCTTGTTTTAAAGTTTATTTATTTTGAGAGAGAGAGAGAGAACATGAGCAGAGGAGGAGCAGAGAGAGAGAGAGAACACAAGAAGGCTCCGTGCTGTTAGCGCAGAGCCGGGTGTGGGACTCCATTAGGCAATCTGAGATTGTGACCTAAGCCGAGATCAAGAGTGGGACGCTTAACCGACTGAGCCACCCAGGCGCCCCTGTGCAGATTCCTTCTGTGGTTGACCTGAACACTGATCATCCTCTTAAATGTCCAATTTAACAAAAATGTGTTTTCCACTTTGTAGAGTAGCCGGTGGGTGTCAGGATGTGACGTTTTAGAGAGCCCTGTCTCTCAGTAAGGGAAGGAAGCCCTGGACCCAGTTTATGCCCTACGATAAGCACCTGCCGCACCCTTTCTCTCCCAGGAGTACCAGCCTTGCAATATCAACCCGTGCCCCGAGCTGAAGAAGACCACACCCTGGACGCCCTGGACGCCCGTCAACATCTCGGACAACGGGGGCCACTATGAGCAGCGATTTCGCTACACGTGCAAAGCCCGCCTGCCTGATCCAAATCTGCTGGAAGTGGGAAGACAGAGAATCGAGATGCGATACTGTTCTAGTGATGGAACCAGCGGCTGCTCTACAGACGGTGAGCAGCCAACCCCCCAGGACCGACCCAACTTGCACAGACCCGCGTGCGACCCCATCTCTCAGGTCACAGGCGAGCAAGGGGCTCTTTTCCTTTAGATTATTTTTCCCTTAGCAATCTACGACAGTGATCCCACAAGTGCACAAATGCCTTTTGTAGCAAACTGATGGGAAAGAGTACTATACTGAGGTGGTCCTGTGAACTCAGCCCTCAAAATAACACTGCCTTCTTAATACATCCAGAAGAGTTTGGGGAGGGGATTTATTTAATATCAGAAAATATATCAAGGAAGGCTCAGTCGTCTTCCATGAAACTTCTGGCACTAAAATGTAAGCTGCAGATAAGCTTTTCCTTTGATTATCCCCAAACTGGACAGAGACAAAGAAAGACCATCTCTGTGTTACTGTCTATAGAAGGATCTTTCTGCGAAAAAGCTCAGCCTGCGGGGATCCTTTAATAGTCTCTGAAATTGCTCTGCCCTTTTAATCCCTTCAATACCATATTAATAGCGGAAGGGAAAGCTCTAAGAGAGACCACAAGATGCACCCTCGGCCTGGCCCCGCTGCCCAGTGGGCTACTGTCCTCTGACAACTCACTTGCTCCCCCTGGAGCTCAGCTGTCTCCACTGCAGGAAGGGGGGTGAGCCTGGCCTTCCCAAAGAGCTTCATTTCCGCTTCCTTATTCATCACTTCTGTCTTTCGCATCTACTTTCACAAAATTTGTCCAATTCTGGAAAGGAAATAGGTGTTCACAGATGGTTCTCAGAACATGATGTGATGAGGACGGTGATAGTAATGTCGTGCACCTGGAACATTTCTCAGCACTTTTGTGTTTATGAGTCCACCTCATTCTCCCAACATGAATGTGACATAGAAAGCATAGTCACCGTCAGTGACACTTTTAGAGAAGGATCCTTAGACCCAGGGTGGGTGGCCTTGATGAACCACGGAGGCAGTCGCCATGTTGGACTGACATGGATGGGATAAATTCACGGGGGTGTGATAAACGTCCTCCTTCATTGCCAGAGGGAAATGGCTCTGGAGTGGCTCCACGTGAGGACCACTGGTGGCACACTGGCCACAAATGTCCCTGTCTCCTCCGGGAGCCTCTGAACAGCAGGGGCATCTTGGATCTGCCAGCCTTCATGACTGGAGGCTTGGCGGTTGCCATCGAGAGCCACACCTAATTGTACGTTCTGACATTAACTATTTCCTGACCTCAAACCATCCTGCTCACTGTAGTTCACCAACTAAATATAAGCCTGTTCATTGTTTCTTGAAAAAAAAAAAGTCTGCTTTAGTGAAAAATGTTGTGTGAATAAGTCTACAATTTACATAAAGCAAACACCCATACATGTAGAAAATCAAGCAAAATGATATTCACTCTTATTAATTCTGTAAAACCCTGCTGTAAGAAGAAAAGATATATGATAGAATATCAAGAGAAAACTGAGGACCCATTTGAAAGATCTGCATTCCACAAGGGATCATCCTGTGATGTCATGTTAGCATTGTGACATAAAATACAAAATCCCCAGTTAAAGATGAATTTCAGATATTTTTCAGAATTTTTAAAAACATGAGTATGCCCCATGAATCTTTTCTGGATAAGTATGACCCATGCAATATTTGGGACATATTTACCCTAAAATATTGCTAAAATTTGAATATCCAAATTCATCTGAAACTTGGATTTAACAGGGCTTCTTCTGTTTTATTTGCAAAATCTGGCAACGCTGTCTCTGAGTCATCCACTTATTTTCTCATTTCAGAGCAGGCAGTGAATTTTCTTATTTCTTATGTCATCTAAGTAAAACAGAGACAGTGAATAGCAGTGTGTCCCTACAGGAATGTCATTATCTTTTCTGAACATACATTTTTTTAACCCTTTCGTTCTCAGATGCATATAAAACCGTAGCTGATATTTGTTTTCAATGATAGTAATATAAACTAAGAACAAGTTTGATACACATTTATAAAAAATATCCCATATTTCCTCCAAAAGTATATCTTGAGCAAGCCTTAAAATGTACTTCCTCTGCCTTGTGTCTTAGGGGCTTCTGGTTCTAATGACCATCCACACATTTTGGTATGGACATCTTGAAAATACAGAATCGGGCTTCTTTGCCTCTGATTGCCCAAAATGAGGTTTGCCTGTGCATAGTTGTTTCTGTATTGATTAAGCACAGAGTACCGGTTCATTACAGACAGACATTTCTAATCCATTTTCTCAAAAGAGCATCCTTCCTAGGTTTCTGAGCCAGAGTTTTTAACAACAGAGGAGCTTAGCAACAGGGCTGTGAGTATATTTGCCTTGTCACACCTCCCGGGAACTGCGTGGCATCCTCAGAGTTTTTTTTGTTGAAACCCGCATCACATCGCCAGCATTTGAGAGAATTACTGAATATTTGTAATATTGTAAGTGAGCAGCCATTTTCACCAAAGCAAGCAGGAATTTTGACTGCGGCTAATTAAATGGCTTCCCAAGTGTAGAATGCTCAGAGCAGACCAGACCCCAGTACATAGGCAGAGCCTGTTCTTAACAAGACATTTCCTCGCTGCTGTGCTCTTACGCCACATGTGTACCTGGGGAAACACACCTGCTGGTAAGTGTGCTGTGAACTGCTTGGGAGCGGGTGCCACTGGGCAAGTTCATTCACAGGGGTGTTCAGTTCCGGGTCAGGAGCTCCACCCCTTGCCTGGTTCTTGAACAGACACCTGTCGCCCCGGCCTGTGATTCTGAAGCAGTTAACTCTGAATTATTTCCAAGACTTTCACTAGCATTAATTCACTTTGGAAAGGCTCACGGATAGAGGAACGGGTTTAGAAAAACGTCTGAATCATGCTTCCGTTTGTCCAGACGGATGTCCCCAATGGTGAGCATGGCCTGGTCCTGGACAGCCCGGTTTTGTTGCAGGATTCCCAAGGGAAGGGAGAAAGTTGTGTTTTCTTTGTAAGGAGCATCCCAGGAAAATAAGTGACCTACAAACCCAAGACCTATTCCTTGTATAAGGAAGTTACCACATTTACAAATCTAGTTCTCAGCTGCATCCTATGCAATAGCAACCGCAGAGAAAGAAGCTTCGGCGATTGGAGATGATCATTCGCCGCCAGTTGTTTGGTTTTTGAAGCATCAGAAGTATTCAACCGATGTTGAGAGTGTAGTTCTAGAAACGAAGCAGGCAGCCGAGGCAGAGTGAAGGTTTCCACTGTGCTTCCTCTAAGGACTTCTAATAGAATCACACTTGGGCCATTTCCTTGGCAGGCCTTTCTGGCGATTTCCTGCGTGCCGGGAGATACTCCGCCCACACCGTCAACGGGGCGTGGTCGGCCTGGACGTCGTGGTCACAGTGCAGCCGCGACTGCAGCAGGGGCATCCGGAACCGGAAGCGGGTTTGCAACAACCCCGAGCCCAAGTATGGGGGCTTGCCTTGCCTGGGCCCCTCCCTGGAATACCAGGAATGCAACATTCTGCCCTGCCCAGGTGAGTGGATTGAGTAATCTGGAAAACTTCTGAAAAATCAAGGGCCTTAGAAGACCTTCTAATTTAGGGAGGCTCGTTTAGCTTCCCCAGCCTTAGGCTTGAGATTATATGTATGTAAAGACTCACAGACTATATTTCCTAACTGCGTTGGTGTAAAGACACATATAACCTAGGCTGGATTATATTCATTTATTTCTCCTGATATTTTTAAATGTTTATTTGTTTTGAGAGAGGGAGAGAAAGAATGAGTGTGGGAGGGGCAGAGAGAGAGGAAGAGGGAATCCTAAGCAGGCCCCGAGCTGTCAGTGCAGAGCTGACCATGAGATCATGACCTGAGCCGAAACCAAAAGTTGGATGCTTAACTGAGCCACCCAGGTGCCCCTATGTCTCCTGATTTATTTTTTTTTTTTAATTTTTTTTTTCAACGTTTATTTATTTTTGGGACAGAGAGAGACAGAGCATGAACGGGGGAGGGGCAGAGAGAGAGGGAGACACAGAATCGGAAACAGGCTCCAGGCTCTGAGCCATCAGCCCAGAGCCCGACGCGGGGCTCGAACTCACGGACCGCGAGATCGTGACCTGGCTGAAATCGGACGCTTAACCGACTGCGCCACCCAGGCGCCCCAGTCTCCTGATTTAAAAGCAACTACAACATTCTTGTGAATCCCTATAAAAATCCTGGGCCCTAGGCATCATGCCTGATGGAGAAGTCGGCCCTGCCGTCATGGCCTGGAGAGATGTGTTGTGTCCTTGAAGCTGGAGGTTGACCTCCTCCCAAACTGATAGGCCCAGCCGTCCCGGGACCGCCCTCCCCCCCATACCACAGGCTCCTCTTCCAGAATGACAGGTATCGAGAATGACCCACCAGGTGCCAGCCAAACCAGCCAAATCAGTCAGTCAGCAGGCCTCCACTCTGTGCTGAGTTCAGTCCTCTAAACACACACTCTTCTCCCCTGGAGGCTGACAGAAGCTGTGTTGTCTGTGTCCTGAGACCTGGCGTCTCATTCGACGAACTCCCAGAAAATCACAGGGTTAATAAATGAGCCTGAAGAGCCTCCTTCCTCCAGGACAGGACGCTCTGTGCACCGTCTGTCCTAGTCAGCGCTCCAGTCTCTCTGTGTCCCTGCTGCCACAGCTCTGGATGTGGCTCTGGCACCTGACTCGCTTCCACCTGATGCTCCCGTGGTCAGAGTCTGTCATCGATGCCGCATGGCCACCCGAACCCTGTTGACGGCTGTGCGTGTTGTCTTTGGCTCTGTCAAGTGAAGGCTCCAGGACAGCCGGGAATTCTGTGACGGAATTCCCTGCACTCCCTGCAGTGTCCCCGGCTCCCAGCATCAGCCTGGCACCCACGAAAGAGCTCTCAGTGATCGTTCACGGAATGATGAGAACACAAGCCCGTGGTTACTTGACCTCCCTCCCTTCTTCTTTGCTTCAATTCTGTCAGCAAACATTTCTGGATAGCCCACTGTGCACCATTCACAGGGAATACGTGGGCATGGTGATATGGTCCCGGGCAGAAAAGAACCTAGAGTTCGGTGAAGAGGCATCCTGGGAATGATGTCAACCCAGTATGGTCACTGGCTATTGGGCTGATGACCAGATGTAGTGACTATATCAGCCAAGGACCCATTGAGCTGGAATTATGGCAGCTACCCCGATCAGGTGGCCCCTGAACTGGGTCCTGAGGGACAGACAGGAGTTGACCAAACAGACAAGCAGGGATGGTGAGTGAGGGAGGGTTATTCCAAACACCAGGTACAGTGATTTTAAAGATACAGAAGCCTGCAAGCATAGCATCTTTTTCAGTGGGTACAAATAAGTTTCTTAGTTCCTTAAGCAAGGAACTCTCTTGCAGCAGTCCTCAGTGAACATTTGTTGGATGGGTGAATGGACGAAAGGTGGATGGATAGATGATGGATGGGTGCTGGGTGAATTGGTGGATGGATAGATGAATTGGATATTTGATGGATGGATGGATAGGTGGGGATAAATGGATGATGGGTGGATTGGTAGATGAATAGATGGGTGAATGGATAATAGATGGATGGGTGGTGGACGAATAGATGGATGGATAGATGATGGATGGGTGCTGGGTGAACTGGTGGATGGGTGGTGAGTGAATTGGTGGATGGATAGATAAGTGGATGGATGGACAGATGAATAATGGGTAGATGAGGGATGGATGGATAGGTGGGGGATGAATGGGTGATGGGTGGATTGGTAGATGAATAAATAGTTGGATGGCTGGATGAATAAATGTACATTAAACTGAAAATAACATAGCTCTCAGCTTTGTAGCTGAGAATCCCAATAATGCCCTTGTTCCTAGGGCTGCTCAGCCCCTTTTAGGCTGTCTCTCCCTGTATTTCTCCAGCCGCAGGGGACTTTTCCCTTCAGCCACTCAGTTCTCCCAACCAAGTGATGTTGAGGGGGTGGGAAAGGTCACAAAGCCAGTTCTTTCCCACAGCCCCAGCACGGAGAGTAAGATTCCTCCCTGGAGCTGGGAGACAGTTTGTTGGTGACATCATCAGATTAGGATACGTGTTATAAACTGAACAGGGAGGGCGACAGGGGAATGTCAGGATCCCTCCATCCACCCACGCCTCCCCAGGATCTAGACATGAGTCCTCATCACTGTCAACAAGCTTCAAGTCTCCTCCAAATATTTGGATGCCGCTCTGGTCCTTCCATGTAAGGCTCAGGCCCATCTCAGACACATCCCTTAACATGACTCGGGGGCTATTTGTATTTCAGTTGATTTGATGGCCAAGCCAGTATCATGTGCACATAACCCTAATGTCTTGAAATAGCTCCGTCCTCATTTTCTTTCTGAAAGCCAACATTCCAGAGGGTTGTGGAAATATTCAGACGGGTCCCCGTCACTTTCCACTTGGGAATGAGCAAGTTCAGGCGACTGAGTTGGGTAAATGTCTATCCTCTCTCCCACCTTTTAGAAAATTCCTGAACACACGACGGGATGTAACTTGGCAAGGGGGGATTGGAAGCGATCAGGGATGTGGGTGCCAAGCTGCAAATCCAGCAATAGGGCTATTTTTTTACCCCATTTAGGATACTCTCCTCCCTGTGAATTTACTCATCCTTAGTCCTATTGGGCCCATAAAGAACAGCCACAAATGGACACTGTATCTTATTTAAAAGCAAGTTTGTTCATTATGATCAAATTTGAAAATCAAAGGCTAGATGAATGGAAAATCCTTTAAATCAGTCAATGAAAAATTTGATCTCCAATTCCAATTTGTATACTAAACCGCAATAAGGTTGTAAGGTCGTGATCATGTTGAAACGATCCTTTCTCCCCTCCCGTGGGTTGGTCTGGTAGTAACTTCACCTATGTAATTTTCCTCCAACACTGAGCAGTAGCTTGGTCTTTCTTCACTCCCTTTGTCAATCCACGTTTATTTCAGAACTGAGGATTCCAGATCTTGGCCTACAAAGGTAGAATCAACAGGTAGTTCCTTGTTACTAAGTACTATTCAAATTCAAATAAGAGTCTGTGTATATTTATGAAAACCTTAACTTTGAGGGAGGAGGATCCTGAGTGGGAACGACACACTATGAATCAAAGTGATGAGTTGGGGCAGATGTGTGTTCTATAGATAACATGTTAGACACCTGTGATGAGCTTAGAACACTCTGCCTTTTTCTTCGTGAGTTCCTTGAGTCCACGCTTTGTTCTGTAAACCACAGGCGACAAAAGTGGCTCATGAGACATAGCTTCTGCCCAGAAGGAGCACTGAGGATTGGAGTAGGGGCAGCTGTTGCAGGAAACTTCTGCCCAGGGGTCCTTGGAGGAGTCTAGAGCACAGCTGTCCTACAGTGACGACCTGTGTGGCCCAGGCCTCCGGACGCTGGGGAATCCATGTCAAACACGCCCACGTCCTGGAGAACTGTAAATGTTGGGCTTTGTATCTCCGACAGCACACAGGATGCCTGACACTCAGACGTTAATCATTCCATTTTGCTTTGCTCCTTAGATCACTAGTAACTGTACTTCCCGTGGCCACCGTTCTTATGTGATTGTAGTAGGTAGATGCCAACACGAATTGGCATCTTCTTCTATGAAGTTGACCTAATCCATACATTCCATTGGCTCAAAAATAATTCCCTACAATTGATTGCTTTGCTCCTTGCAAAAAACCTGGAATCTGAGCTTTTGTATATTTGTCCTACGTATATCTACGTATATCTACGTATATCTTCCTACGAGCTGGTCTTTCTTGGCCAGGAGGAGATTCCCGCAGGAGTTTTAGCGACGGGACAGAAGTTACGTGAAACCCTACACTGTGCCGAGTCCTGGGCTCAGCCTGCCAGGCCTGCTCCCCACGCGTTCCCTCTGCGCCCTAACCCTTCTGCATTTCAGTCCCACATTTCTAGAATACAACCCCCCCACCAAGGCTGGCGGTGAGGACGGGGGGGGGGGGCAATACTGAGCGAGTTATTATTTCCACTCGTGTAGTTATTTTGTTAGTCCAGCCTAGTTTATGTAGCGGAAAAGGAAGATTTCATGTGCTCAGCCCAGCTCGGTTCCCCTGGTGTGCATGGCTAGCATGGAGTCTACATTTGTATGGTTTTCTTGGCTTCCAAGTTCCTGTTTTCCGACCAGGTTCTGCATGCTCCCTGGCAGTGAAGGCTACGTCATGGAGCTTTTTAATAGGCTGTTATTTCTGTTTTGGAAACACGTTAGCCTTCCTAATGTGAAATGGCATTTCCATACTCAATGTCATTTTTCACCCGGAATAAAGCACCATCCCCCTTCTCCCCAGTGTCACTGCCCCCAGAGGAAGGTTGAGATTTGAAACGTAAGCACGAGGATGACGTGGTGGGGGGCGACGAGCAGGGTAGAATCGGTCTGGGGGCATCGGATAATTACAGACCAGGGCGACTACCTGATGGAATGAAGTGGCTGGAATTGTCCTTTGATTTCCTTTTGTACAGGGAGCATCTATTTCCCCAACTCTTCGATATCCCTTGGAGCAAAGCAATTGCCGTGGCAATTGGTAGAGGTATGATGTGATCTTGTGGTTTAAACTGACAAGTGGGAACGTTTTTGCAACTGGGTTCGGTTACAAATGTGCCCCCACACTGCTCACATTTTGAGCGAGAATGACACTCTCTCTGTCAAACAACCAACAGTCCTGGGCCGGGGGATGTTTTTCACGATCCCCACTGGACAGTCGGTGTGAGGGGCGGGGGTGGGCAGCCTTTATTAGACGAGATGAGAGGATACTTAGCGTACTGGTTGAAAATGTGGATAGGAGTGAACACTGTTTGAAAGACCGCAAGGTGGGTTGTACATAGGAGCTTATTGGCTCCCTGCTGTGTGTGACCGTTAGATCCTGCGTGATCATAAAATGATTGTGAAGGAAAGCACTCGATGTTTGGTTTGTTTTTAGTGTTTACCCTTTTTTTGTGTTTGAGTAAGAATATTTAACATGAGAGCCACCCACGTGAGATAACAAAGACTTAACAAACCTTTATTAAAAGACGATACTGTTGAACAGTTGTACTGTTCGGACAACACCAGACGGTACCGTTAACTACAGACGCGATGCCACACAGGCGCATAGTGTTGGCTTCTGTGAACAATGGTGCAGTGGGCATAGGAATGGAGGTATCTTTTAGAAATCTTGATTTCAGTTCTTTCAGATATCTATACCCAGAAGCGGGACTGCTGGATCACACAGTAGCTCTGGTTTTCATTTTTTGAGGAACCGCCATAGTACTTTCCCCAGCGGCCGCCCCAGGTTTCATTTGCACCGGCAGTGTGCAAGGGTTCCAATTTCGCCACATCCTCACCAACGTTATCATCTGTCTGTCATTCTTTTTATAATCTCCATCCTGGCAGGGGTGGGGGGATGTCTTAGGGTGGTTTTGAATTGGCACTTCCCCGATAATGAGTGATGTTGAGCATTGTTTCATATACCTGTTGGCCATTGGTCAGCAGGTCTACCATTAGCCACAAGGGGCGCCTGGGTGGCTCAGTCGGTTAAGCGTCCGACTTTGACTCAGGTCATGATCTCACGGTCCATGAGTTCGAGCCCCATGTCGGGCTCTGTGCTGACAGCTCAGAGCCTGGAACCTTCTTCGGATTCTAGGTCTCTCTCTCTGCCCTTCTCCCCCACCCCTCCCCCCAATGCCTCTTTCTTTCTTTCAAAAATAAATAAACATTAATTTTTTTTTTTTAAGTGAAGAATCCTCAGATCACGTGGTTGGTTCTAAATTGGGCTCTGGAACCATCTAGAACAAGTCAGTAGACCCTTCTGAGCTCCAGACTTTCCCGTGTATACTCTGACACCTTTGACACCTGTCATTCTAAGGCACTACAACTTAGGGGCACCCTTTTTGGGGGTGTGCAAGTATATGTGCTAGAGACCAAACTTCAGCTCTGGGAAAAACAACCAGCAAGCATCCTCCCAGTAAGATTGGATGTGGGAGAGGATTTTTGAAACTTACACAATTCTAGGCAAACACCTGACTGCCTCCTTTTGCTGGTGTCACAGCCTGTGGCATATATCTGACGGGTTCCCCCTTAGGCTCTAATCTACCTTGTTGCCTATTAAGTAAAATGTATAAACTTTTGAGTCACAAAGTTCCCAGTTAGGTCACAGACTCTTCTTAAAATTGGTTTGAAATGGTTTTGTTTTTCTGTTTTTTGTTTTTTTTTTTTTCATTGTAACAATGAGGGGGGGCCTGGGTGGCTCAGTGGGTTAAGCATCCCGCTGCAGCTCAGGTCATGATCTCACGGTCTGTGGGTTCAAGCCCCCCCACGTCGGGCTCTGTGCCGACAGCTCTGAGCCTGGAGCCTCCTTCGGATTCTGTGTCTCGGGTCAGATATGACAGTAGCAGAGACCGAAGCCAGATGAGGTGTCTGTTTTAGCAACTTCACCTAACGCGAGGCAAACCCTGAGGTCCCAGAGCCAGGCGGGCCGCTGATCCCAGCGTTCAGGAGGCCCGTGGGCAGGTATCAGGAGCCCGGCCTGGGGAGAACGGAAGTCATGCTCTGGGTCACCAGCAGTCATGGAACCAGTTATGCCTCACGCCCTTCGTGTGAAACTCACCTGCATTATCATCCTGAAGTCTGGCCGCAGATCTTGGGGATTCCTGTCTTTGCTCTGCTGTCAGTGCACTTCCAAGGCAGTGTGGTTTATGCTTAGTCGGGTTGTTTGATGCCCCCATCTAGAAGCATCCTTCACGGTTCCTGCCAGGACCCGTTGGCTCTTTTCTATCCCGCTCTCGTGGAGCACATCGTAATGCAATTAGTAAGGAAGCCTGTGTCCACAACTGCTGATCCTTGGCTGCAGGTCCACTCTGTGGTTAGCAAAGGTGAGAGCTCCCTGGCCTTCCCAGTAATGACCACGGAATGTGGTTAATGGTCCTTCCCAGAACTGGGACTCTGTTACGCGTACATAGCATTCCTCGGCTATCTGCGTGCTTGCTTGTTATATGCTTGGAAACATTTCCTGAAAGAGCAAGTAAGAGGAACCGAGAAAGCAGAGGGAGAAATACACAAAACTGGTTTGGTCACCAGGAGGAAGAGGCCAGACAGCCCTGGGAGCGGTCAGGGGCGTGTGCAGATGGCCTCCCACGATGCACGTTCTATCTGTGGCCGCATCAGGCTGGTCTCATTAGGAGTTCAGAAGTCATATGCCTTTGTGTCCCTTCCTAGTGGATGGCGTGTGGTCTTGCTGGTCTCCCTGGTCAAAATGCTCGGCGACCTGTGGCGGTGGACACTACATGAGGACCCGCTCGTGCACAAACCCGGCCCCAGCCTACGGAGGAGACATCTGCCTGGGGCTACATACGGAGGAAGCTCTCTGCAACACACAGCCCTGCCCCGGTGAGCAGCCAGGAGGCTTGCGGGATTCTGGGCAGACTCGCCTCTTCCCTTGATTGATGTAGAAACGGAGAAATTGATGGTAGCCCATGACAGCAAATCCTGAAAGAGAGGAGCACCTCATCCCTCACAGTTATCCTTGACCATATCCCACTGTTCTGCATTAAAATAGCTGCCAGCATGTCAACAGTGTCACAACTAGTAACAGAAACTCGTTATCACAATGTCTCATTAGAAGGTTTAACCTGGTAGTGGGATCTGAAAATCAGAGTGGGGAGCAAGGAGAGCCCTTGGAAGGACTCGGCCTCAGGTCTGGGGGACGGGGGTGGGCAAGCTCCGAGGCTGGCTAGCACAGGTGCCCAGTGGGTGCACTGTAACAGCCTCCCCACCCAACAGGGCCCACTAGGAATGAATGAGGCGCCCTCTTCTGAGTCTAACTTTGACATTGAAATGCTCATCCTTTTTTGTTTTTAACTTGCTCCTGCAGATCTTTCTGGAAGGTTCCATTTATACAGAACAGTGCCTAGAAACCAGATTCTCAGTCATCCTCAAACCTGGCACTTGACACATTTTTGAGGAAAAATGTCATGTCTTTACAGTGAGTCAAGGCACACGTCTGATTTCCAAACTTCCCCTGTAATGCAAAGATGATGCTTAAATCTAAAAAGAGGAAAAAAGCAAACCACATAGAAACATGTCTTTTTAATGTGTTTAATATTTTCAAAAAATACAGAGAGTTCTTTTGTATTTATATTTTTTAAACCCCTTACTTAAAATATAAGGGTTGCTCTCTCTTTTCACACATCCGTAAGCCTGGGCGAATTTAACAAATCCTAGCAAATTTTCCACTTCGGGGTGAAGTGACCTTTTATCACTCAGCTCGGGGCCTTAACTCAAGACTCGTGCACCGATCTTACGCACATAGGCAACAGTAAACACAGGATAAAATAAATTCTTCCTCAACTACAGCCTGACTTTGGTATATTGACTCTGCACAATTGTTTTTGTAACAGAAGCGAAAGCATTCGACACCCCTTTCAGCAACCAGGGCTTTCTCATTCACACATTGTCATTTCTCTTGCTCGAGCTCTGAGGCCTGTAGGAATTTTGCGGGAAAACCTTTGAGGGCTGGCCTTCATTGGGGAGCATTGCCAGGTGGAAAATGGTGTCCTCACTGCTGATTTCTCTCCCCCGACCACTGCCCATGTCTACACTGCTGGACCTCACGAATTAGCTTATTGAGTGTCTAGTACAATGAGTTGAAAGCAGTAAAATAACATAGGTTCTAGAAAATGTGTTTTAAGCACATTTGATTTTTGATCAAAGGCATACCAGCTCTTCTATCCATGCCCGTGTGTAATTTATTTACTGGAGCGGTCAGAGGCTACCTGTCCATCTTATTTATACACAGACCCGTTAAAATTGTAGTATGAAAATTTAATGTAACGTATGTGACCTGTGGTGCTTCCAGGTCGATCGATCTCAGTGGGCAGTGTTGTCCCGTCCCCTTCTGGTCATTGCAGAGAGCTGGTCAGAGTGGTCAGACTGGTCTGAGTGTGACGTGTCTGGAGTCCAGATCCGTGCCCGCCAGTGCATCCTTCTGTTCCCTGTGGGCAGCCAGTGTTCTGGAAACACCACGGAGAGCCGGCCGTGTGTGTTTGATTCCAATTTCATCCCAGGTAAGAGCAGAGATGCTTATCGGGGGGAACAAAATCATTTCCATTGTTTAGAGAGGAGATGAGTCATAGGTGGGAGTGTTAGCTGTCCTTGGAGGTCACTTTTGGTGAAACAGAGATGATCTTATCAATTCTTGTGGTTTCAAGGTAATTAGACGATAGATTTACAGATAACTGTGGGTTGCATTTAGGCCGTGAGTTTTACGTGTTTTTTTTTTTTTTTTTTTTAGCACAGTGTCTTTTACAATTTACTGACTATAACACAGCGAGAAGATTCTGCTCAAAAAAATTCAAATAGATTAGTTTGTATTTTAACAGGTTACATGCTTCTGTAATGTTGTGTGCAGGTGTTTGTACAGAGGAAAGGGGACAATTCTTTTGCAACTTTGATATAGTTGGGAAAATAGAAATGTACCAGGGGGCTCATCTTGGAGAAGGGATTAGCTGGCCCTTTGCCAATAGGCTTTTCCATGTGAAATTGATGTTTACTTATCGATGGTAACAAATCATCTGTCACATGTTCACTGTAAGCACAGTGTTACATACTTGTAAGTCATTTTGTACATGTCCACTGTGGGCCTTAGGACTGATGTAGACCAAAGCAGAGAGCAACCTGTTTCAAGATAATTATAGGTAACTACCTTGTTTTCTTCCACTTACGGAAAAAGGTAATCGTATGTTACCGAAAATTAGTAGCGTTAGTCTTGTATGGCACTTCCATCATGTATGGTATAGAACTGCAAGCCTTGTGTCATTTTCCTTCTTAACCAGAGACACGTTGCTAATTCTTGTTACGCAGAGAAAAATTCTCGTTACAGGAAAGAATCACGTCTCCGGTCTTCCGACATGGTGTTTGATCCTTGATCCTTGTGGGTTAAAACGTTTTCGGGATCTGTTCCCTCATTGGCATCATATTTGTGTATTTGTGTGTGTCATGGCAAAGAGCATGAGTGAGCTCTGAATGGGGACTTTATTTGTTGTGGCAATTTTCTTCGAGCTCCAGTGGATCAGTCCCCCCCTCTGCAGGGAATTTGACAACGCTGGCTTTGATGCAACCAGAGATCGGAGGTGGGAAGACCGAGGCAGACGCTGTGGGGTTCACAGCTGGCAGAATATATGATAGCGGAAAACCAGCACATACTTGGCTTTCTTTCGAAGTTAGTGCCTTGGTTTCGAGCCAAAGGACCATAGCCTTTTCTTTCTGTGGTAATGAATCTCACTCGTTCCCCATCTAGATGACCTTGACCAAGTACAGCTCAGGTTGGTTAGAACAAAGAAACACATGTGATTTGTTTTTTTTAACAATTAGTCAAGCTTTTGGAACTTGGACTCACATAAAACTCGAAATCATTAGATATTTTGTAAATGAACCATTGATGTTTGCTTCCTTCCCAACACCCAACGTCATGATTTAATTTTTTCCAGAAGTATCTGTGGCGAGATCCAGTAGTGTAGAAGAGAAAAGGTGTGGGGGTAAGTTCCTCTTTTTAACTAATGTTTTTTAACTTTTTTTCTTAAACTAGTGTTTCGTTGATTTCCATTATTTTCTAATCATTTCTCTTCCCATATGTTTCATACGATGTTTGGGCCAAGAAAAACTGACTGGAGAAACTCTTGATCCAAACCCCTTCCACTTTGGTAGTGTAACTACAAATAGTCAATATTTGACATCTGGATCAGTGGTTCTCAGGTGCAGTAGCTAGACTGGGATCATCACAAATCCATGGCAGCCAGCTTCAAACCTCCAGGCCGCTGGAGCGACAAAATTATAATGGGGTGTAAGGTTATACCTACACCTCTAGAGGAATTTTTTAAACTTTCTGCAGACCCAAATGATATAAATCACAATCTCTGGTTCCAGTTCATGATAAATTTAGACTTTACTGTCTATGTTTATCTTGTCTGAGCAGGATGGGTTGACGGTCCATTGATCAAAGCCCACCCCCTGTCCGTCCACCTTTGCTAAACCGACCCGATATCCACACCGAGATGGCATATTCATACATGTGGCTGGTGACCTACAAATACCCATTCCTTCCAGAATCCATTCCATCAGGGGAGTCCCAGACAGCTCAGCCACAGGCTTTTGTCTCTGTGTTCATATGGAATCAAGAGCTTCGTGGGTGTGTTTTAGGAATGTACTTACTGTGATTAGCTACGTTAATTAAGAGCCCACCATCACAGTTTTTCTGTTTAGGTAGCTGTCGATCTGTTCATTCAATAATCTTAGCTGACCACCCACTCTTGGAGTTTTGTGAGGGACATTGAGTTTATCATGGAGACACAAATAGCCCCAGCCCTTCTGGAACCAACAGTCGCATCATAAAAGACCCCAGTGCCTGAGAAATGCAGGGTCTGGTGTCTGACCTACACGAGTTCAGTGGGTTCACAGACTGACAGTTACTCTCTTGGGATCCAGCTGGAAGATAAATATATACCAGCTCCCATAAAAATAATCATAGCTGTAAGATCAGTCACTATATGTCACTGAATTAAGTGGCAAGAAGCGTCCCATTTGATCCTCACAGAGAGTGTTCGTGGAGGTGCCACAGCCCACAGTTCCTTAATGTAAACCTTCACAGATAGGAAAGGGTTTCAGAATCCAGCCTTCACCAGATTTCAGATGGGTAATACAGGGCATGCAATGTCTGTTACATAACACGCTGCAGTGCCCGGGGCCACATTCTGTAACCAGTCTCTTTAACGATGCTGTTGTGAGATGCGCGCAAAGTGAAAATGCTAACACTCCCCCTGCAGCTCTAGTCCGTTGTGCAGCAGACTGGGTCAGGTCAAGTCATGCTTTGCTGCCAGCTGAGCGAGGAAAAATCAGGTCCCAGAGATTTGGGTTTTGCAAATTCTAGGAAAGGGATAGCAGCTAGGCACTGTCGTCTGCATTAGGGTTGCTGAGAGTCAGAGAGAGGAGGCCACGGGTGAAGGTCACCAGGAAGTCAGCAACGGAGCCAGAGTGTGGACCCAGGCAGTGGGATCTGAGTGTGAGCTTTAAGGCCAGAGCGCCACAGGAAGAGTATCCTGGCAGTGAGTGTCTGGGAGGATTGTGTCCAGGGGCTGGAGCCACAGCAGCTCCAAATACTCTTGGACACTCTGGACCCGGGGCCTGGAGGCACCTGCTGCCCTCAGAGGCAGCGTAGGTCAAGATTCCGTGAACCAGAATTCTTAAGGACTATTCTTGTCCTCTGGGAAGGCCAAGGCAGAACCTGGAGTCAACCAGCAGTTGCCTCTGCAGAGTTGACAGGCCTTCCACGCCTGCCACAGGTTTAGAAACCATTTTCCCTGGCCAGCCCTCTCTGGGTTAGGATACAGGAGACCTTCAAGGGCCTTGAGCACTTGGGAGAACATGATGCAAAGCCCACTCCCAATCCTAAAATGCTGCTTCTGTGTGTCTGGGTCATCTGGGCTAACTGGCTCCCCAACCCAAGATCAAACCTTGACATGCGGTTGATTAAGTCACAGAGATCTTATAATATTCAGAACTGAGTTTTTAGATCTTTAGGCTGCTAACATTGACCCACCAGGTTAGGCAAGTAAGAGGTTGTATGGATCTGAGTGTAGGGCTGAGAGGTAAAAGGAATTACTTAGCAAAATGTTTTGGGATGTTTCAGGAGGCAACATAGATGTCTTTTTTCCATTTGAAGGAAAACCCATCAAATTTTGTACAGAAAAACAGCCAGTTGAGCCAACTGGATAGTGGGTTTCTATTCCAACACTACTGACCAAAAACAACAGAAAAAACATATTCAAAGGAAAGAGCCACGCTAAGCAAATTCAAAAGAGATTTAATAGGCACTATTTTTCCCAATGCGGAAAAGCATAGGCCTATTGAAAATTTTCAATTTAGCTATTTTTAGTTGCACGAGACACAAAGACTATATAATCCTCATAAAGATGTCAGCTGGCCCCAGCCCTCCCCAGGCACCTGCAAGCACGATTCATTGGACTGATGACAAAGCATCTGCATATGGAAAGCATCATACATCTTTCATATGTTACAATAAACCGTTATCAGTGCAGCAGACAGTACTTTTATCGGTAGGTGGCATTGACCCTGGGGAGTCCAATTGGCTAAAGTATAAAACAATGGCAACATATGTGAGATCCGCTCTTGCTTACCTTGAGCACAGCCTCAATGTTATAGTAGACATTTCGGGCGGTCGCTGGTGGAAAGCTCCCTGATGCTCTGTCCACCCTTCCCAGGTTGGGGGTCTCCAGTTCTAGAGGCTCCAGACAAAATCGGGAAAGGCCAGAGGTTTATGAATTGCTTCCATTTTGTTAAACCACTGACCAAAGAACCAAAAAGTGAAAAACAGTTGGGTGTTGGGGAATAGATGACTTGTAGAATATTCTAGTAACTTCCGCCTGGATTATCCAGGTCCTGGTGCTGAAGACACTGGACACCTGCATTAGGATTCAGGTAGGAGCGAGTGGGTTGTGGCTCGCAGCGAACCCAGGCTCTGTGCTCACTTGGGCAGGCAGCTCCCTCTCTCAGGGGTCCCCAGAACGCAGCATCTGGGACCAGCAAAGGGCACAGCCTTGAGGGAGACGTCAGGATGTGGGGACAGTGAGGGCACCTCAGTGAGTGGACCCAGCTGAGGTGAATGTGACTCTGAAAGTCCTCAGGGAGGAGCCAGGGTAGTTGAGGGACATACACCCCAGGGCCTGGGTGCAGGGGACAAACTTGCAGGTCTTCTCTCCCTGAGAGCCTGGGGACCTCTTGCTATCACCCTGGGACTCACCTGGTGTCTGCAGTGTGCCTAGCAGGCATTCTCATGGTTCTATTTGGGTGCAGGATGGACAGATCTGGGAAGAGCGTGGGTGACACTGCGCCCCCTGGTGGTGGATGGAGGGGACACCGTGGCTGAAAGGCAGTCCTCAGGATGTGCCCTGTGCAGGTGACAGAGACCAATAACCCACAGGCAACAGGTTGGCCACATAGAGCCAACACAGCATAGAAAAACTAAGGTTGTGTTGTCCTTCACCAGATTTTCACTAAGTCCAGCTTCATGAGCATTACTCAAATGTCTTTATTCCCTGAAAGTCTGGAAACTTTTTTTGTACCACGTTTTACCAAGACATGATGAACATCTGTAATTTCTTTTGGTTGTTTCTCAGACATTACAAAGGTCTTAATTATGTTACCTTGATGTCCCTCGAGCCAATCACATATTAGAGACAGAAATCCACGTCCACTCATTTTTTCTACATCTTGTATTTATAACTCAAGGAAAATAGCCCAAAGATGCTACTTAGCACAAACAAAAATATGTAAAAGAGGGCTATTTCATGACCATCAAAAGATCATATTTTATTCCTTTGGCACAAATCCTTTATTTCTTTGGTTAAACCATTTTCTTTACAAGGTCTCCGAAATACAGTAATTTTGAGCAGTAATTGGAAGCAGTAAATGCGTCCTCACTTTGTTCATGGGGCACAGCCAGGCTGTAGGCAGGGATCCTCCACTGGTTAAGGAGCATGGAAAACATGTTCTCAAGTAACCCCATAGACCAGAAATCATGCCACACTTGAAACAGACAAGCAGACTTGTACAAGCCTTTAAAAAAAAAAAAATGCTTCTGCTAGTGCATTCAGGTGATGTCCAAAAACCCGATTGTAATCCGTAAGAGCATTAACGCAAAATAAGCTGTACTTCCTGGGGGGGAAGTGTCCTGGTGGCCGTGACATTTCAAAGGAAGCTCCTGTGATTGCTTGAAGTTTGGAATTGGTCAGGGGCCTTTCATTTTGCTTTTCTGTCCTCATCCGAGTGCATTGAGCTGTTGAGTAGCGTGTTCTTTTCCAAAGTAGCGTCACTTCTGATGCTGTCTTCCCAGAGTTCAACATGTTCCACATGATTGCCGTGGGGCTGAGCAGCTCCATCTTGGGCTGCCTCCTTACACTACTCGTCTACACCTACTGCCAGAGGTACCAGCAGCAGTCCCACGACGCCACCGTCATCCACCCTGTCGCTCCTGCCCCTCTCAACACCAGCATAACTAACCATATTAACAAACTGGACAAGTACGACTCAGTGGAAGCCATCAAGGTAAGGGATCGGCAGACAGATGGCCAAGCAGCACCCTGGGGGCGGTGGCTTGAGTGAAGGAGGGGGGGTAAGGTAATAGGTGTGCTTTATGATGAGCTGCCTTTTCAGCTTTCCTTTGCCTGAAAAAAAAGGTGGCATCTTATATGGGGAAGTGGGTTAGAAACAGGACACAGAAGCGGCAACAAATAAAATGCTGGAAAATACGGAGTCATTGGCCACTGTCCAGTTCTGCCTCCACGGTGCCTTCCATGTTCAAAGAGAGGTCTTGTCAAAGAGAAGAGCTCCAGGCCGAGGACCTGTACTTGCCAGACAGTGGTACTGAGGACCGGGGTTGGGTAATCCGATGTACAGGTTCATTGCTGGAATCACCCCGATGGGATCCTGAGAAAAACTGTCACATTATTATAAAAATTATCTTCAAATAATTTGTATGCATAATGAAGTCTCTTCAGCTTTGCATGCTGCAAAAGTGCTATGTGGCTGGTGTGGGGTGAAGTGTTCTGTTAGATTTTCCCAGCGGGTGATTAATTCAGTGATCCACCCAGAAATAGAGGCCAGTTCTAAGGAACGAAGAAAGAGTGGAAAGGGTATCTGCTTTGGACCAGAAAGAGCTGAGTTCATGAGTCACCAACTGAGTAAACTTAATGCTAGTCATTCACAGTCACCGAGCCTCCATTTTCTCCTATGTCTTGACTAGTGCCTGACAAAATAAATGTGGTCTTTATTTGAGGCATTGTGCATCAGGTTTTGGAATACAAGTTAGTTACTTCTTTGAACCTCAGTTTCTTCGTCTTTAAAATGGGTATAGCAATATGTACTGTCATATCTTTGTTGCACGGTTTAAATGAGATAACATACAGGAGGTCGGGGGCATAACTGGAAGGACATCAAGGACTCTTGTCTACTTCACCCAGTGTGCCCTACCACCCATGTGAAGGAACGGAATTCTCATTTTGATATTCCTGTTAAGTTGGTGGTTCCCCTGGGCATTTTTAGGGAGCACGTGGAGACTCTTTCTCTGCTATGATCTCCTTTGAAATTCCTTTGATTTCCTTCCCATGTGGGAATATGGAACATCTTTAGCACTTACAACTTCAGGTGATTGAAAGGGCTTGTGTCCTGGGATCCACAGTGCCCTCTCTTACTTCCTTCCCACCACGAGGCCCCCTTCTCTAGCACTTGGACGGAGACAGAGCCAGCTGACTTTTACCCATGGGCCTTGCTTACCCCCAGGATCCAGAACCCTTCAGCACCTTATAGTAATCACGTGCTAGGGCTGGGGAATGAAGCACCAGGCACTGATAACACGCCCCTCACAATGTCTCAGAGTGGAGATCCCGGAGTATGAGAAGGAACATGAGCTCCTTTTATGAGCAAGAACCTTCCAAACAAGCCTTCAGAACCCAAGAAAGGGGCTCCTCTAAATGTGATTCCAACCTATCAACTTGTGTGTCACTCCCAGTGTCTCAAGATAACTTAGCTGGTCTTCTGTTCTCACTTAAGATCCGGTAGCCACTCGAGATAATAAGAAATTTCATTTCTACGAGGGCAGCAGGGTAGCGCTGAGGATCCTTCTGGAACTTTCTTCTGATACCTTGCCCAGACCAGTCCAGGACCGTTGGCCTCTGCCGACCATCCTGCATCTTTATTTCAGTTTTTTCAATATTTGCACTCCACCTGGCATAGTTTAGCATTTTGGAAGTATAGGTGCCTTTAATGACTTAATAAGGAAGGGCATCTGTGTCAGAAGTGGCTACAGGAGCCTGTGTTAGGGGGGCCCATAGCTGGTGTGTCAAACTAAGAATATGCGTACTCTGACCTGTGGAGTGAGGAGGCACGGGCCACCCCCATGGGATCGGCAGGCAGCTCCCTCTGCAGCCGAGCTCCCACTTTGGGGAAGTGGAAACCCCAGGCTTGTTTTGACTGAAGGCACAGTTTCAATACACTCGCCCAAAAGAAGTCAAGTCCCATGGTTTATTACTTACACATCCCAGGAGCCTGGGGAAGGGCAGTCCCCCGTCCCAGGTCAGCAGTGAGCAGGAGACAGAGAGAGGGTAGCAGGCACCTGTTACTCACAAGGTGGTTGGGGCAGGCGTCACTGACTTTTTGCAGGCTCAGCTCAAAGCAGGAACTTATGGCAGGAGCTCTGGTCCTCTTGTAGGCGTGCACACACTGGCTGGGTCTGAGCAGGGTTGTCGTGCTGGCAAATGCCCAGAGGGTGACTCAGAATGGCTGTTTCCTCGTCTCATGCTCAACAAGTGTAGAGAATGACGAGCAACGAAGTCATTTGAAATTTCATGCATTTACTTCAAAATCTCTTTTCCACCTACGTATCCATGATAATTAGAATGCTGCTTAAAGAGTTACACAACATTCAAAGTGTCGATTTGAAGTCACTAGAGTTTAAGGTTTTTTGAAGGTTTGGAATACTCCAAATCTATTTATCAAAAACCACCAACTTCATTGTAGTTACGAGGCAGGTCTTCAGGAAGGCAAATAACGTGAGGAAGCAAATAAGTGAGAAAACACCTTTTAAGACAATGGAACCTTAGCAGGGAGTTCATATTCAGCATAGTCATGCCCTCATTATATTCTTTTTTTTTTTTTTCTGAAATACTGCCCATGGAGTATTCTTAAACCTTTTCCTTAATCATTTTCCTTTTTACAGGCATTTAACAAAAACAACTTGATCCTAGAGGAAAGAAACAAATACTTCAACCCGCATCTCACTGGGAAAACCTATTCTAATGCCTACTTTACAGATCTCAACAATTACGACGAGTACTAATAGTTGTTATATTTTTGGCTTCTTGTAATTCCCCAGTTCCTCAAGGCCTGTGCTCCATGACTGCCCATGTTTCCAAGACTTCAGAGTTGAAGTTTGGATACGTTTCAAGTGCATTTCAAGCCATGAGTTTCCCATTGCTACCAAAAACAGACATCCTTAAAAGCAACACAGATCTAAATATGATGTCGTGAAAATCTGGTCTCAATGCTTGATCATTGTTGAGTGAGCCATGGTGTGAGGCTTTGTTTTGTTTTGTTTTACTGTGTTCAGTCCATTTTTTTCCTAACAAGTCACTTGTTTTCTTGAGCTTTTTACTAAATGTACCACCCACATGGGAAGGAGTCTTTAGAAATAGGAATGTCTTCCTGCTCTGGGGCATAAATCTTTATGATGTTTTAATCCAACAAAAGAGACACTTCAGCTGAGAGTCCCCGTTCTCCATAAGGCGTGTTAGGTCTGTAAGTATTTGATGAAATGAAGAATACGAATGTGGCCATAGAGTTCTGCACCCTGGATCCCCTGTCTTCCCAACCTGAATAATTCTGTGGAATCCGTGGAAGCGACTTGTGTGTTTGGACTTGGAACGGTTCTTGCCTGGGGGAAGGGCAGGGATTCACCCCGGCTTGTATCTGCGGTGGTGATGGCGTGAGGTATGACACACGCTTTCCCCGGTCTTAATGCAGTTACTGTGTTATCCCTGGTGGAGGCACACTCACAGACCAGAGCCACAGACACAAGGAAGGGTCCAGCGTTCCGTGCGATGCTACGAGGCTAGCCATAGTCTCCCTCCTGGATTTCACAGCATTCCAGGGAGCTCCTTGCCATGCGGTTGGTCTGGAAGCCCCGCCCCTGTCCAGTCCATAGTAGCATCTTGAAGAGACGACCCGTAAAACCAGCACTTGCTCAACATTTGGATAGACGCCACACCTTCTGTGTCCCCGCAAAGAAAAAATCTTAAACATTCATGACACCAATGGGGGAAAGCATTAAAAATACTGGAATGTAATGGGAACCGACTTTTTTATTTTTTATTTTATTTTTTTTTTATCTTCCATGTTATGGAAAGGATTGAAAGAACTGACCTTTAATGAAAGGCAACTTTCTAATTTCTATCTCCCGATAGAACTAGTGTATGGCCATCATCCCCTTCCCAGAGCATTACTGATGTGTAAAGCTGGCTTTCTTCACCCCCGCGCTGTAAATAGCAAAGTGCCCCCCAAGCTGTCATTTGCTGCCTCCGGGTCAGGTGAGGAGGAGACGTCCAGTTCTGGTGCCTTTGGGTTCTGTCTCAGTGCTGCCTTCCTACCTGCCTCCTCCCGCTTCTCCCTGCATGGAGGCAACGGCATTTCAAGATGTACCTTGAGAAAGCAGGGATGTGAGGTTTTTAATGATCCCTGTGGTTCTGAGCATTGATCACTGCTAAGCATTCCAGAGTGTTATAATACTATTCATAGAGGTCTCCAGAAAGGAAAAAAAAAAAAAAAAGCGAGATAAATTACTCATAAGCAACTGATAAATAATACATGGCAGTTGGCTGACTAGTCTTCGAAAGTAAGAACAAGATTGAAACTGTTCATCTGATGCCTAAGTGGTCAGTAAAATGTGTTCTTCTTGCTCAGTGAACCTTCCGGTTTCCGAAGATACATAGCACGGGCATTGAGGAGCACAGACTTATTAGCACACATGTTTTTATCCTACCCCACGTAAAGAAACAATCTCAGAAAGTGTTGGGGGAAAAAAAAATCCCATGTTTACTAATGAATATTGTTGCATTGAAAATACTCCCATGTACCCAGGCTTCCAGAAGCTACTGTACTAAAATTCAATTTTAAATGGCAGGTGGTCTCAGAGAGGCCTGGTAGATTGCAAGCGAATGGTGTTCTGGGTCTTTCTGGTGGGGAGTTCATGTGGCCTCTCCTGCATTGTTGTCTGCTGTTTGAGACGACTCTGTCTGGACGCACAGAGCCAAAGTCCACACTCAGGAGGTGAAATTCAGTCTGATGGTTTCCTCTTTGTTCCAGAGCTAGATTTTCAACTGGTGTTATCACTTTTCTATAAGAAAAACGCCTTCACCATGAAGCATGTTAATAGTTGTTTTTTGAATCCCTCCCCCGAGTGTTTTCTAAGCTTAAAAGGTCATTTTATTTCCCTAAGGAAAGAGGATACTAATTTCAAGAAAGCCTCAGTGGACCTGATTGGAAATGCTTTCTAAATGCTGTCGAGGCTGGACTTCAGTCAGCGTCATGCTGTGGCCCGTGACAGCATCCACCTTCCACACCGAACTGTCATGTTGGCGATTGCCTACATCCTGGATTTATCACTGCAAAGAAAGGCCCTCATTTTTGTTCCCGGACACTCCCCTCAAAGACAGATTATTCTGGCTTCTCTTTCTCTCTGTCTCTCTCCTCTGTCTCTCTCGCATTCTCCTTATTTCACAGAGTTTCAATTGGTTTAGAATAATTTCAAATATAGTCGAAGTATTGTCATCAGCTATGGAGTAACTTGCTTTTCTAGCTTTCATGTGTCTGTGCCTCCCCTCACACCTCCTGTGTTGCGTGAGCCCAGGTGGGTGTTTACAGTGGTGTTTACCACTTCCCCTGGGACCTCCTCCCTAAGGAGCCTCCCTGGGGGCTGAGTGTGGGATTGCCTCTCTGTGGGTCCTGTTGTAAGT